GGGGGGGGGGGCAGGAGGCACAGATTTGCTCCTCCGTGTGTATGGAAGAGGCTCGACTGAGCTTTAATCACTCTCGGAGGAAATGAGGATTTTGTAGTTCGTTTTTTTTTTTTTTTTTTTTTTTTTTGCCTTTTTTTGTGAGACACAGACGCTATAGAAATGCTATAGTCTTCACTGGGAAACATGTGGGGATGTCTTTGATAAGATCCCACAATGCATTCCAGTTTATTGGCTGTTTTTTCTTTCTGCTTTAAAGCTGCAATCCATTCTTTTTTTGATGCTTTCAACCACTGTCCTGCAGATATAACCGTCCTCAATCAAAGGTGTAACGATCTAAACATCACAATCGGACAACTGGCATTACTAGATATGGATTAGAGGACTGAAACATCAACGTAATCACATTTCTATCTACTGTACGTACACTATTTCCTGTTTTGATACCTGCACATGAAAGCCATCAATGTTTCATCGTTGGTTGAAAGAGTTCATGTCGGGATAAACGCCTTTTGGATTTCCAAATCATAAATATGCACTTGTGTTATCTGAAGAATAATAAACATAAAATGAATGAAGTATCACATTTTAAATAACTGAATTAGATTAGGTTCTTAAGGCCATTCTCTTACTCTGAAATGTAACTTTGAGCATAACTGTTTTGAATCACTGAATGATGTTCGTTACATTTGGATCTTCGCTTAAATATCCAGTTGCTGCAGAGTTTGGGGAGTTTAAGTAGTTTTATTGTATTCTGTCTGTCCGTCAACACTTAGGCTTCCAATGAAGCGACCGACATGTTACATAAATGTTACACGGTGCGGCTGTTCATCACTTAACATCTGCAGTATCTTGAGGACCCTTGACATTTTGCATATTCAGTTATTTCAAATTTATTTATTTTATTTTTTGTCTGAGCTATGTGCATAACTAATGTGCAAAAAGGTCAAGAGGTCTGAATATTTGAGCAAGCCGCTGTACATACACTTTGTCAAAAGAAACAAATCAACATATGTCGATGCTTCCTGACCCTTAAAACTGAAAGGACAACTTTTATTTTCTTAAAGGGGCAGTCTGTACTTACTTTTCTTTCTGTGGGTTTAGTTAAGTTCACTTTATATTGTGTCAGAAAACAATGTACACATGACATACTCAGTCATACACTGACCAAACGTAGTTTCTTCAGTGTGAATGTGTACAATACACAAGGTAAAGATAAAACACCAGTTCTAATGTTTTTAGTTGCTTATTAGAAATAGTACAATGAGATCAAGTTCATCCTTCCATCTAGGGATAGGCTTCATTATTTATTGACTAATGAATGAAATGTATAAAAAAAAATGCATCTGATGATAAATATCCTAAAACATTGCAGTAAGAATAATTGCCTAGCAGTTTGTTATTGTACTGAGGTAGGGGTGGAGGGTTAAAACTCTTCTAACAACGTTGGAAAGTATTAATAATGCAGAATGACTTGTTTCCTTCGTATAGAGGACCTGTCAGTCAATTTTGGGATTCAAAGCAGGTTCAAATCCTGCTTTGAATTTTGGTGGCTGCTGAATCCTTTTGATCACACCTATAGGAACATTTGGGGTTTTAAGTTCCTTGTTCATTTTGTGTTCCATGGACACAGAAGAGCACTAGAGTCGGTAAACACATTTCTTTGTGTCCCGAGGCCGGCTGAGACATGTTATGACAAAAAAAAAAAAAAAGAAGTATTGAATAAGTTCAGGCCTTGATTTGGCCTTTGACGTTCTCACTGACAATGCATCTATGCAATTGCTGACTTGCAAGTGCACTCAACATCTTAAATTGGCTGACTTTGGAGGCAAATGAAGAATCCTGGGAGGACTTTGAGAAGGCTTCTCTGACACGTCTCTCATAATGAACGGCTCTGTTTTGCTTCCTGGGGTTAAGCTCAGGGGGACATTTGTTTAAGAAAAGTAGGACGCAAAAACTGAACTTGAAATATACAGTAGACACGGTGGAGTTTAGTGTTGGCACATAATTACTGTATATCCGCTTCAGACCGGTGCTCTGTTCGCTCATGCTGTATACTCACCGGAGGGCTCTTTGTCCTGTGTGTGTGTCCCCCACCCTTTACCCTTTACCCTCCCTGTGCTGTTGTCCTCCCCCCCCTGGTGACGCTGTGTCCTCTCCCGCAGTGTCCCAGTCGAGAGAGCCGGGCTGGCTGGAGGGCGAGCTGAAGGGAAAGAGGGGCCTCATCCCTGAAAACTATGTGGAGATGCTGTAGCACCAAATGGGAATATTTATGGACACGTTATCACCTTCCTCCGGGACAAATATGCAAGAGATGCATGTGCCTCAACTCTGACATTCACCATAGAGCCTTGTTTATCCAAATCCCTGAATTCTCCCAAGCAGGTGACATTATGTTATTACTGGTGGACCATTCTTGATACACAAGTACATGCATTGTTAGCTGGCGAGTAGACGTTTGTGTGATGCATGTTTTTTTTTCTTTGTTTGAATTGACTTTGAGTATCCACATGGATTTCAGCGTTGTAATTACAAAAATGGGTTTTGCACTTCCAATATTCTGCTGTGGACAAAGAATGCCGTTGCCTCTAAACATCCGGGTAACTTTGTAGTAGCGGCGGAACAAGGAGCGTCTCTCTCTGCCTCAGATATACATGGTATCCATGAGCTCCCAAGTCCAACAGCGATCCTCAGAAACCGTAAGGAAGAATGTCAGCACTCAAGTCACTGTAATCAGTTTTTGTTAAGACGCACAGAGTCCAGCAGCTTTTCGACCCTCGACAATGATGCACAGTTTTGTTTTCAGCTTTTGAAAGATTCGAGATACTTTTGCTCACCGTGCCTTAGCCGTCGGAACACCCAGTGTAAATGTATGTACGGGTATGTCTGCAAATGAATTGTGGTGTTACTGCTTTCACATTTTAAAATGTTTTTATTTGACTGTCATTTAAGGAATATTTGGATATTCAAAATGAGGCACATCGCTATTGTTATTTTATTTAATTGGCACATTGATTGCATGACTTTTGAGTTTTAAATACACTTCTGTACTGTTTTGTTCTTGGTGCACTCCTTTACAGAAACACGATGAAACTCCTCCCTGACGACTGAGCCTCTTGAGTTAAACACTAGCATCAGATGGAGCGAGCAGAGGTGGATTTAAATATGTCGTAATGATTGAAACCAAGTGGGGGGGGGGGGGAGGTTCTTCGTGTCAAATGATTCTGTTTTTGTCTTCAAAGCTTATCTTCAACGTCGCTCAGTTTCCTCTGAGCAGAGAAATGAGACACTCCCACAAAGCTGAAATCTTAGCGTAGCACTATTTTACCTTCAATGTCGGGAGAGTAAGTGATTAGAAATCAAAGTTTTATTATCAATAGGACCACAGAATGCAGTATTTCAAAGTTTTACATCTGTTCAGTGTATATAGCCTAACTATTGAAAGAGTTATGAATACCAAGTATGTTTTACAAGTCTCTGTTAAGTGATGGACCGGTTATAATGTGGATTGGTTTTAGCATGTGTCATTACAATTCATCCCTCAGCTGTTCAACGGGACGCTTTCATTTTTCTGAGAGCTTTTGGTTCAGCAGCAGATTTATGACTTTGTCAAAGAGCCTCGACTTCCTTCACTTTTATACCTTTGGGTATCCTCTTGATCAATGTTAAACAAATAAAGATCTTTTTTTTTTTTTTTGTTCTTTACCGTATTATGTATTCTTGCCATAAAATAAATGTGATGAATGATAATTTAACATTAAATCAAAAACAATCGCATCTCAGGAGTAAGAAAATGAAGGAACACACTGTAGACACTTTTATGGACAGACTCATAATTGGTCAATTTTCCCCCACATATAAATTTGACAATGTGAAATCTAGCACTATGTCTAATTTTGCGATGACTCGTCTATTGTGTCAGTGAGACGGCCCACAGTTTCCCACAGAGTCTAAGAATAAAGTGACTGGTGGAATGAGGAGTCACTCTGCAGCCAGTCCTGTTCCATTGAGCCGGGTAGGGTAACGTTAGCCCTCCCGTCCATCTGACCAAAGCCGATAGCAAAGCTACTTCCAAAAGGGGATTAAAAATAGATGATCGTCTTTAAAGGAGCAAAAAGAACCCCCTGATCCATTTACATCTCAGCCTTACGCATGTTAATTCTTAGGCTACATCTGTGTAATTAATCAACACACCAAATGGCCCTCAGACCCGGGGCTTTGGCCTCAGTTACATAATAATCATGAGTGTGCTGCTGCACTATTTAGAAGTATGAACACACATGCTTTGTCCACAAATACCAAAGGTTGGAGCTGTGGTTTGTGTCCACCAGCACCCTGAAACAGACGGCAGGATTACATAATGAAATGAGGCAGAGCTAATGAGATGGGCAAAACTATCACCACCACCATCCACCCCTGGGGCCCTTCGTCATCATCATCGTCTTCCCTCTGCCAGAATACTGCTGAATCAGACAGGCATCCACTCTGCCTGCCTCTCACTCTGCTTTGGACTGTCTGTCAGAGAGCGAGCCGTGATCCTCTATCTTCCTTCCACCTTCCCTGTCGGTGTCTCCTTGACTTCCTACTTTAGTTAGTGCTCCACTTATTTTCCGGTGCTCTCATTGTAAATTGTTTGTTACGCTCAGTTAATCTAGGTGCATTTATCTTTCATCCTAAATTTGGGTGTATGACGCAATGAAAACGGTGTTGATCTGGTTTGGGTCAGCCTGTCCGAATATCACTTGAGACTGAGGTTGTGCTACCTGTGGTGATGTGTGCATGCATTATGCAGCAGCGTCTATCAGCCTGGGCATGTGTACGTCTGTGTCAGCGTGTCGAATTAGACGAGATGTAGTTGTGTTTGAGTAAAAATCCAGATGGCTGTTTACATTTCTCATTTCCCAGAGTTCTGGCTGTGTGCCAGCTGTTCTCTGGCTCCCATGACGCAGTGTCCTTCAGCCCCCAAAACACAGTCCAACGCCATGACTCAGTTTGGATCAGAGCCCGCAGCACTCTACCTTCAACGACGAGCGAATGACACAATTCGGTGATTCAAATGGGTTTGAATTTCCGTGTGGAAGTAATGCCAACTTAATCCATTCCTGTGTCTTCATCTGGTTTCTTCAGACTCAGTGTGTTATTGGGGCTGAACACTGAGTGGGAATTTGGAGGAAAGTGAATTTCCAACATAAATGTGAGAGTGTGGAGAGAAAAAAAAAAAGCCTCAGCTCAGAGAGTGGGCCACAGAAGCCGCCATGTGCGCGGGTGCAGCCGTGAAATCAGCCTGATCCAATAGATTCTGTTTATCTGGCACGACTACAAGTGAAAGCAATTGGAAATCTGGGGGAGATTTGGAGAAGGCTGTGGATTGAGAGAGAGAGAGAGAGGGAGAGAAAGTGAAAGTAATACTGTCTGCTCTACAGTCTGGTAAAGCAGGTGTGTTTTCAGATCACCCTTTAACAAGGTTAATGGTGATTTTTCTCCACAGGCACCATTTTACTGTAAAAGCCTCATTCTCGCTTTCTTTATCTCTGTCATTTTGACTCTCTTTCCGTTCCTCTTTGTTCTCTTCATCTCCTCTCCCTGTGACTGCTGTACCTGCTGCTGCTTCACATCATCTCTTTTTTTTTTGGCTCATTATCCTCCCCAGTCGCCAAAATGCAGCTGTTTTGAATTCAACCAGATCAAACAGCCCTTTTTTTTTTTTTTTTTTTTTTTTTTTTTTTTGTTAGGGCACATTTCCCTACTTTCTGTCTCGTGATACAATTTTCAGCTCACACACACATATATAAATACACACACAGACAAATTACACCGCATCAAATGATCAATTTAACAGTTTTATTAGAATCTTGCAATAGTTTTGCAAACACAAGTATGGCAATATCTGCATCAAGATGTACAGTAGTAACTGGTTTTATTGGTTTATGGTGAAGGATGTCTACTGTTCGTTTGCTGGATAGTTGCTGAGAAATATTGTACAAAGCATCGGAGTAAAAAGTCATTTTTGGAATTGGAAAAAAAAAAAGAAAACATTTGTATATATTTATATATTAATAAGAAATACACTGCCATGGCTGCGGAGATATGGCTTAGTCTCTCTACACCCGATTCATTACCGTGAACAGAAAATGGCCATGACGTGACTTCACATACAGAGAGTGTGCTGTGTAACAGCAGTTGAACACATTCTGTGTCATTCATGCCTGAAAGGAGTTCATTTTTTGTTTAATTAAGGAGACAGCTTTGAAAATCATGTTGCTATCTTGATAAGTGTGACGTTTTTATTTTTATTTTGCAATGGCCAGTGATTAATGACCAATTACAGTTCATGAAAGCATCAATTAGTCATTAAATGAATAGTTTGACATGTTGGGAAATGCACTTCTTGCTGAGGATTCAATCAGAATATTGATACCGCGCTCAGATCTGTACAGTAAATATGAAGCTGCAGCCAGGTGACAATTAGCTTAGCTTAGCATAGAGACTGAAAACGGGGATACAGCATAGCCTGGATCTGTACAAAGGCAACAGGAGTAAAAACTACAAGTTGTGGTTTGATGGGGGACAGTCTAGCACATAAACCGCCATAAAACTACAACTTGTCATTTTCACACTTTTTCTTCGAGTTAAACAAACAAGATGCTTGTTAATTACTGAGTTGTAGAGGTGCTGGTCGGTGGATTGTCCCCCTGCCTCGAGTCTGTATGCTAAGCTAAGCTAAAAGTCTATTGGCTGTATAGCTTCATATTTACCATACGGACATGAGCGTAGTATCAATCTTCTCATCGGACTCTCAGCAAGAAAGTGAAAAAGTGTATTTCCCAAAATGTTGAACATTTCCTTTAAAGAAAATGAAAGAGCCAATAGTCAAAGCCAAATAGTTCTGGAGTGCAGAAGGGTCATACAGTGGCTTGAGAGAATGATGTGTATACTTTTTGACATTACCATTCTTTGAGACGTTTTTTTTCTGTTATGATTTTAAACTTGTTTTGGCAGTAAGTGCAATATAATTGCAGTTAATAACTGGTCAAATTTGAATTGGCAAAACGTCAGGTCTACAGCCTCCAAATCCATAATTTCACTTTGTTTTGTGTGTGCATTAAGTTTCTACTTTACAACTCAGAAGTCAAGAACTTTCCTTCATGTATCCCAGTTTCAATAGTCTGTGATTTCTTTGATTTTATTGTGGTGCTCATGAACAATACCGCCACGGGTTAGGAAATCATTTCAACAGCAACAACTCGAGGACCCATCACTTGATACATCTCGTTACAAAATAAGAAATACTTTTTGATTATTATTATCTTTTGTTTGAGCCACTTTAAACAAAGATGCAAAAAGTAAAAAAAATAAAGATGCAAAATCAAATAACTTGACTTAGTAAGAAGATAATACATGTACTCTCTCTCTCATTCAGGTAGTAAGTTCCATAAGTCTCTCACAATGTACGATACATTCATTTCTCAACTGTACGTTCTTCTCTGTGATCCAACACACAGAGCATGGCGAGTGGGAAACACATTTTTCCAATATTCCGACAAGATGGTTAAAAATGTTTTATACTATACTCAACATAAGGACTTGCTGTATTATTTACAATATATACTGTAAAATTGTAAATCAGGTGAGATAAAAAGGCACAAGTTTCCCTTTTTTAAATACAATGTAAACATCTCATCAAAAAGCATGCATTAACATTTCATTTTACAAAAAGGATATCATTTTTAGACAAAGTACTTAAATATTGTTTTCCAGCAAAATATAATTCTCTCAAAAATACTTTCCCATTCATCCTATGAACCTTTTTTTTTATTCTTCAAAAAGGACAAAAAAAGGGGCAAAATAAAAGAAAAGACGGCGAGAGAATAGCTTACGGGTCCTTCACAACTTGACCACAATGATGCACAACAAGTACAGGCTGTAAAATGAGGCCTTTCTGATGCGGGACTGTACGGAACGTATTGGGCAGGAGAGGGGGGATCTTGTGTTTCTGTCTCATGTGAATCCAAATTTGGCAAAACATAATAAAATAGTGAAAATACAGCCTGTCTCTATTTTTAAATAAATAACTGTTAAACAGTTGGATTCATAAAAGCCAGTGAATGAGTCATCTGATAACAAAAATCACCATGAGAACCACAACATTTTCAACTCGGGATGAATGAAACACACAATTATGGGATGATAGAAACACCCTCCCCCTGCTCTCCCAACAAATATCAACTACCCTCCCTTGAGCCAAAATTTAAAATACATAACCCTCCTCTTCTGAATCCCCCCCCCTCCCCCCTTGAATAACTTCCGTACAGTCCCCAACAACAGTTGCAATCATGCCCACCTACATCTTTTTGTCCACCAATCTTCACACAATGACCGCCACAGAAGAGACGTCACAGCGTAGCACGGCGTCATCGTCGCAAGAGCCGAGGCCACAAATACATTACAACAAGCACCCGGCTGTGCTAATGATGTCATGTTGTCTAACTTTAGGCTGGGTGACCATGCAGAAAAGTCTTTTCCCCGCACCATCTCAGTTGCTTATCAAAACAGACAATTCCTGCTAGCTGCACTAATGCCTCATTTCACATTGTATCTCCTCTGTGCAAATCGAAATGTAGAAATAGGATATGGCTAATCCTATAACATAAATGCATAATACCCACACTGAAAGAGCAGATCAACTATGCACACATGCTTGCCAGAAAAAGAAAAAACACACGCACGCACACACAAACTTAAGCCATTCTCACTCCATACGCAAATGTAAATACACACTCACAGGGCACCAAAAAAAAAAGAAAAAGACAAATAATCACACACCCCCACTGTTTTTCTTCCCCAGCGGCTCTAGCGCTTTTCAGTAGCATTATAGTAGTGTTCCTTCCACAACCACCCAGAAGCCAGTGGGGTGTGAGACAAGTTAATGGTCCAGATGACTGGGCCTAAAACCTAAAGTAGCAGTAGCTTGGCCCAAAGAGAAGAGTAAGGAATTCAACTAAATTAGGAAAAGGTGATCATACCAACAGTTCTTCATCTAGCATTCATCACGACGTACCACAAAAACATTTTCTGTACAACCACTGAATAGAATGTGTTAGAGAAGATGTTAATACCTGTACACATTTGCCTGGTTTTTGATACATTAGCTGTTTGCTGTAAGCACTGCAGAGTAATGCTCCGTTTTGGATTATATCAACTTTACAGAGTATGTGAGTTTTAAACCGTGCGTGTCCGCACAGTGTATTTGTGTGGACTGTCAATGCGTTACTGTACATGTTATGCTTAGCCTGGCTTTGTAGAAATGAAGCACCTTAATGTAAAATGACTGGCTTGTCAAAAACTAAACCTTTGCAACACACTTTTATAAAATGCTTCTTATTATTTCTGGGAAGAGTAGATAAGTGTTGGTTCACAAAGGGCTGGTTTTGCTTCATTGTGAGTAAAAACAGACATTTGGACAGCTGCTCTGGAGATAACACAAAACACAATTATTATGGATGCACCTCAGTCAAATCCATTACCAGCGGACTCCACTGCAATCGTTTCCGTAAATGCGCGATGTTTTCCATCCTGCAGCACTCCTGACCACTTCTGCACAAAGGTAAAATCGTTCATCAATGTTGTCTTAATTGGGAGCAACATGGGAGCTTCACGTGCAACCTGCCTTTATACAAGAGAGACATTTTTTTAAATTTCAAAACAGCTTTAGCTTTGGACTTTTGCATATTAGTTTTGATTGTTTTACTACATATTTTAATTTAAAAAAAAAAACTCAGTATGTGAATGTTAATGATGGCTGTTATGAGACCGATTGAAACTTGGACTTGTTAGATTTAATATAATTACTCAGCTTATGATGATGCTTGTATAGCCCTTGGATAAAATTCAAATAGACCTTTCGCCTTACCGTCTGCAATTTTCTGTCCCCTCATAATTGCCCTGTTGTCTTGCAGTATGCTGCTACACTGCAAAGCGAAATGTAAGTATCGGCTTTTTTTTTCTTTTTTGTAGTGCTATTATTTGTGAAAGACTGCATAAGCCACATGTAATATTTGCAAAAACATTCTCTCTAAAGTTGTGGGATTCTGATTTTAGTGCATGTGGAGTGCATCTGTGGGTTTTGTGTGAAGGCATGTTGACAGCATGTGTATCAATTTCCCTCTGTGTGTGTGTGTGTGTGTGTGTGTGTGTGTGTGTGTGTGTGTGTGTGCACGCAGTGAATGTATAGCGCATCCTAAGAAATGTATGGCTTTAACTCCATAGAAAATACTGTCTTTGGGGCGGGGGGGGACAAAGGAACACGGGGTGGGTACTTCGGGATGCTTTGTCACATTTGTCTCAAGTCCTTCTCGGCGTGTCGAGCTCGGCTCCACGTACTATTCACAGCTCTGACCTGCTCGTGGCGACCGCAGGGTCAAATCAGTTCTCCCACGTTTAACTTCTGTCACCGCGTCGCTTCACTTTCCCATCCGAGACGAAGGACCCCGGCATACTGGGCGACCGGGTGCGGGCCAACCGGTCTGGCCTTTTCTCGCACATTTTCTCTTTTTGAACCTTTTTTACCCCATTTCTTCCAGTTCTTAATGCTGCTTCTCACCCGACTGTTAATAAGGGAGTCACTTCTTGTGGAAGTAGATTGTGTGAGTGAGGCCCGACTCCACCTTTGGTATCTGGTCACTGATGATCTCCACCAACATTTCGGGGAACTCCACCTTCAGGGCCTGGGACTCACGAAAGGTGTAGAAACAGAAGTCTAACAGGTTCCCCACCAGCTGGACAACACAGACAGATAATTTGATGAGAAACATACTTGAGATGGAGCTTTTTATGGCTTGTTTAAAAAGATATTCCTATTTTTATGGAATAGTATTATTCATATGTAAACATTTTCTAAAAATGTGAGACTTCAAGTCGACAACTATATATTCATAAGAATGTGTTTACATTCTGTCGGGGCACTGACCCCTTTACAATTCTTCCTAGCTCACCACTTGGGGGCACCACTGATTTCTTATCTGGATAACCCTCTTTTAAAGAAGGGTCATCCTCCCAGCACTAACCCCATTCACTCAGTCATTTGGGTCATTGAATTCCTGTCATTTATCTCTGTGACCTCCCACTTGCTGACTCCCACTTCTTGGGGCTTTGTCTACACTGTCGTTATGCCAAATACCGGCTGACCCAGCCATAAAAAAAAAAAAAAAAAAAAAGAGCAGTGATTTAGCACATTTGCTACAGTGACCACTGTGTACTCTGCACCAATAAACTGTGAGCTTGCATTGATCCCCTTCTGTTCCATTCACCAGTACGGGGCTGGTCACTACCTCTTCCAAAATAACCTCCCACTCAGGAAGCGATTGGGATGCAATAATCTTTATTCCCAGCCACATCACCACTGAACCGCTACATTCTCCTAATCCACTATGCTGTCATTTTAGTCAAAATAGTGCCACTGGACACATCGCTCTGTGTGTGAAGGCACGGCAAACCGAGAGGCTGCCAAGGGAAGCCTGTGCTGTACTGTGGGTCATTGGCATGGGAGGCGGACAGGGCAAGGGTACTTACATCATGCATGGCGTCCAGTAGCTTGGTGAGCTGGAAGAAGCGCTGCCAGGTCTGGCCAGAGTTGTTGGTTGCTTTCCCCACTGAACGCCGGAGCTCCTTAATGTAATTAACCCTCATCTCCTCGAACGCCGCCTGGTTCTTCAGACCGTCTTTGGGAACTGGAAGACAAAACAAATCCTTCTGTCATCAACTGGATTTGATAACTGATATGAGACTTGTATGGTTACATCACAATGAACCTTTCGTTGGGTTGTAGCGTGGGTGATTGTTTATACCGAGGAAGTTATCACTTTAATATCTCTGCTTTTTTTTCCTGTTCTTTTTATTGTGTAGAAAAGTGAGTACAAAACAAGTGCAGACAAATACATAAACACATATACGAGCCAAGAGATTATACAAAGTAAGGCAGGGAGGAAAACAAAGGGGACATAAGGACACTGAGGAAAATAACATAGGTTTAGACTGAGTAGTGTGTGTGTGTGTGCGAGCAATCCGTTTGATGGGTGAGTGAGAGGTGTTGATTGAGGTTAGGTAGTAATATGAGATATATTTTAATCTATACAGGCCCAACTAAATGACTTGATTCTTACTTGTTAAGTGATGGCTGCAGGTTTGGTGAGCAGCCCCCAGACCCTCACGAGGGGGGTTTGCTCTTGGATTATGATGTTAATTTATGTCAGTGGGATTCACATTTTAAAATTGAAAACTATATTGTGATAAAGCTTTTGATCCATGTTGCCTGCTGCTAGTTGTCTGTTGTTTTAAGATGAACTATGAATATAGTTGTGAGTTAATGCAGTTAAAATAAGGGACTATTGACTATTTTGATTTATTAGCTATGATGTCTGGCTATCAAACTTGGAAATATAATGGTAAACATGCTTAAAAAAAACAGATAATAGAAGAATATAAAAAATGAGTCTACTAATATTTAATATTCTAAACTAGGCTCACAGTAATGGTTGACTTTTCTCAAGTTCCAAGTCTCTCTGATGTGATTTTCCTATCATACAGAAAAGAGTGAAAACCGATAGCTGCCTGCACTGTAGGGCATACGTCCAAAAATGTATGGTGCACTTTAGAAAAGAGCCATTACCATCAACACTATCTGCAGTTAATGGACCAAGCCATGCACAACCACCGGTATGTTCCCTTAACGTTGAAATGTGTAACCGTGGAAAGGGTAATTTAGAGGTGATCAGTAAATTACGGGCGGATTCCCACACGGTACCCTTTTTTTTTTGGGGGGGGGGGGACATTTTTCCTGTGTTGACAACCTAAGCCTATTTAGCGACTCATTAAAACCACTTTCACCATTTGAAGAGCTCATTAGTTCATGTGTAGCTACTGATTCATGAAAGACGACTGATATACTGGAAGGCATTGATTCAAAGTTATCTCAGTGACGGCAAGAACAGGGGAACAGCGCTTCTTATGTGTGTTAAAGAGCTTCATCATTGTGTCAACCAAATCTCATTCATCAAGACGTTTGATCAATGACCAGAGCTCCTAAATTACTCCAACCTTCATTCACATCATAATGGTTTGGACGATGCATTTAAAGTAAAAAAAAAAGTAATGGGAGAGATTTAGACAAACGTGAAGAATCATGAGATACGGTAACTGCACCCGTGAGAATGCATCGAAATGTCTGCAATAGCTTCCTCTCTCTCTCCCTGTGCAGGAGAACAAAGTCACAGATATGGACGTCTGCCAAAAGCTGCTCAATGACATTCCGCTGCTGGCTACCAGATTAAAAGACACCTCGCCTCTCAAAGAGCACACCTCAAATCAGTCTGAGGGAACGCCCTCGGTTGTCCTTCAGCCAAGACTATAGATATGATGATAGATTTATACTGAGATGACCCACAACATGACTTTGTCAACCGTCAAGAGATTTTTCAATACTGTTCCTACCTCAGCAGCCATACCTCTGGGTGTCTTGGGTCGTATTTTGCAATGCTTAATTAAAATCAGTGTGGGAATGTTTTATGATAAAAGGATTTTTATATCAATTTGCTGTACTGTACGTACCTTAATTTGTAAACTATATAATTGGCTGTATTAGCCCAAAACATATATACAGTATATATATCACAATATAACAACACACACACCATGACAGAAGATTTTATCCACAACGCCCACTCCCACTCCAGTGTTAATGATAAGATGAAAGAAAATGGATACAGATTTAATAGTTACATACAAATTATTGCTTCAGAAAAGTATCTTTTACAGCAGAATGAGTGAAATCGTTGGCCCTAATGGTTTAAATGACCTCCCTTTTAAAAACGAGTACAGCCAATCGCAACGCTGGCAGAAAGCAGTAACTGACGGGACTTATTGAGTTCTGCAGAATGAATAGCAATAAGCAGAAGCCTGCTTCATGTCAGCTTCAAGCATGCCTTACACGAGGTTGAGGAAAGCAGATATGAAAACAGAGTGGACCCCGGTGCAAAGGCTGCGATTTCTGTGCTTCATGTCATGGCTGACATGATGAGAATGTGCTAAAACCCAGGGCCGCATTTGGACCTTTTGTTCTCCTCCCAACTGACCCACATGCACCCTGATTAGAAACTGACCTGCCGTTAAGGGGCGTTGCCATGACCGGCCGCCAAATAGGGCATTTACACCACCACTGTTGGTGTCAAATGGATGTTCGCTGCTGCAGGTAGAGAGCTGTTTCGAGCCGGCCATATTGTATGCAGCTGTACCAAAAGCCCAGGAAAGCTCTTTTACTAATGCACGTAACATAAAGAGGCAAACGTACCTCGTGCAGTTCGGAGGTGCCATTAGCAATGCCGTTCAAGGTGATGCAGCTTCCCGCTCTGGGTTGCTGGTGCATACCGAGCTGACAGGGTGGCTCTCGGTTTAGATTCAACACTGGGTAATTCTACAATTAGCCCTGAGCATGACTACAGCAACTAACAGGAACAATAACCCAAGAGAGTAATGACTGCTAGATTAAAAATGATTATAGGGTTTCAAAAACAATCCGTCTGTTGCGTGACTAACTGTAAAACGTGTCACACCACATGCAGCCATTACCGCGGTTAACATACTGTACACTTGCCCCGCCTGGAATGAGGCTGTTTGGTAAGAGAAAGATCGAGATAATCCAGCAGTACTATCTGTGTCTGTGCAGAGGTGAGGAGCGTAACTGGCTTGAGCAGGCCACTGCTCCTGTACCAAATCCAAACAGGGTCATGAGACACCACAGGCTCAATGAAACCTTAGCCAAGGTCAGAGAGGAATAACAGCTCTTCTCTCTTTTCTCTTCATCCCTCTCTCTGCTTCTCTTGTTCCCTCTCTTTCTCTCTCTCTCTCTCTCTCTCCATGTAACACAACATTTTTCAAACCAGCCCAAAGGCACACACACACACTCAGTGAGTCCGTAGTACTTGCTCAGCTGACAAATTCTGACAACTCTTCTGTAAACATTTACGCCGCTACTCCTTCCACGAGGTCCCAGCATTACTTCGGAATAAATTGAACAGAGAGAGTTTCCTACAGCGCCTCAGAAAATCCAGACACGGACTGCTTTAAGTGCTTTTGCTGAAATCTTTGTCAAGCCTCCATACAGTGCCGTACATTTGCTCACAGATACAGGAATGTCTCTGCTGCACATTAAAAGCGCTGATTGATTATTTTCTTCCAATCCCTGGTATTTAACCGCTATATTTGGACTAAATCAGCCCTGGGTTTGAAGGAAGTGAAGGAAAATAGCAGGTCTTGGAGAATTGCCCGGTGCTTGACTGGCCTTTATTAAGTACAGCAGGACTCTCTGGAAAATCTCCAGAGGACCAGCGAGAAGAGGAGAGGGAGGCCATGGCAACAGAAGGACCAGCTCTGCCAACTCCCCTACCCCTTTGTATTCTGTTTCTTTCTCCCTATAGCTATGCACCTGTCTCTTTCTCACCAACACAAGCTCTCCCTGTCAACATTTGTCTGATTTCACTCTTTAAATCTCCCTTTTCCCTCTTGCTTTCCCATCCTCTCTGTACTCTCTCTGTTCCTCGTCTCTCCCGACATCCAATAGCTGAAGTCCAGCTGGAGCTCCCTCGCTTCCAACATGACTCAACAACACTGAGTTTGTGTCTGCGTTCACTCCACCTCTGTACAATGAAGCCAGAGCAAACCTTATACCAGCTGTCAGGGATACATTGTATGTTTAACTATCTACTGATAGAATGTATACAACTGTAAGTACTTCACAAGAAGCTCATGTTTTTATTTTATTTTTTACTGATCAATATACTCGCCAATCATCCAAATAATAGCCTTTATTAGTTCTGGTTAGGGTTTATAAACTGAAAGACTTCCAGCACATATCTAGACTGCAGCACTGCATTTAAAGTGCGAATTTGACCTTTTAATTGCTTGTAATGCCAATAGAACTATACGCTTTTTCTATGGTTGCACTCATTATAACTCACTTTGGATTATAAAGTCAAATTGAAGAACTTGTGATGCTAGGATGAAGTTAAGTGTAACATGGTTGAGTCCAGAATCTATGCACCACTGTCAGAGGCCTCAGTAACTCAAAAATAAAAACTCTGCCAATGAGTCTTTCTTCTGATTGGCGCTGGTGCTGAAGTTCAAAGAGTTTGAAGTCGGGCCAGGATGCAGACTCTTCAAAGATAAAGGCCTTGCATTAAGCAAATGTATAAATAAGAAAAGCAGGTCTCGCGCATATTTTCTTTTTCTTTTTTATAGCTGCAAGTGGGTGTGGACGGTGAAGTTATGACACAGCTGCCGTCACTGCATCTTTAACTGTTTTGCTATTGAACTGAAAGCAGCAGCTCACAGGGTGTTGAAATGGTGGAAAAAAACAGTGCTTTCAGTTTCCAACTGAGCTACTTGGTCCAACACATCCTCGCCTGTGGGCGCAGTCTTTAGTGAGTGATAGACATATTCTGTTTATCCATGAGAAATTTCAAAAATCAAACAACGTAAAGCAGAGTAGCCTTTGCTCAGAGAATGGAGAAAAAAAAGAAGTCACTGCTCCCCTTTTCTCTATTTGCATATAACATGTTTTGCGACACAAACAGGGTGCATGCAGCAGCAAGTCTATTTCCACGCTTGTTACGCATGTTAACGGATTACCAGGAATGGTAATCGAACAGAGTTTAAAAAAGGCATAATTGTGCCAGGAATGCATATGAACATTGCCAAAGCACACTCAAGGTGTGTGGAGGATGAAGCAGAACACAAGAAACCTCATCAATGCATTTCCTGTGGTTGAGGAATGTGGGAGACGTTGAGAGGCTCAGGCCGTTGAAGGCATCGCACCTTTGCATGTACAGTATGTGGTGTAAAGGCAGAGAAAAACACCTCTCCCGCTCATGACAAACTAAAGATTATCAGTGGACTTAAAACGTCATTACTGTCGACTCTGGTGAATCCTGCCTCCAACTGCACCGCCATAGTGGTTGAGTCACAGTTACACGGAGTATCCACCTATTCATGGGACACGCGTTCTCACGAGGAGCTCGTGCTTTCAAAGAGGACGACAAAGTCTTTGGGATGACTTAGAATGCAGCATCGGAAGAAAGGAGCAGCATCCTCCTCTGAATGTTGGGAAGCTGCTTGAAAAAAAAAAAACGATGTCTGCATGCTCAGCTTTAACTGGGACATTACAGTGCAGTCATTGCCATGAAATGTGATGGTTGTTATCAGGCACAAAGGTCCAAAGTGGTATTAAAGAGCAGTCTCTATTAGTATTGTCTAGTCTGCACACGTTATAGCCATTTACAGCCATGTGTTATTGTTTTTTAGTCAGTTTGAGTTATGGATAGCCTGAAATTTCAATTAATTCTTGCTTGACTACGTAATGTTTTTTTGTTTTTTTATTAATAATTTTCAAATGACATTTCATTATACAGTTAGTAATTTGTGCTTGCGGGTCATGGAAAAAAAGCAGTGTGAGCAAGTGGGTATATAATGAATAAATAAGTGCTTGTTGCAGGGCCTGTAGCTTACTGCCTACCTGTGCTGAGAAGCAGAAGGACTTTCATGGAGAGGAACTCATCGTAGTTAAGCTGCAGTCGTAGAAACTCCTGGCTCACCTGCCTCATGCCCAGACACAGGTCGTACATGGCCGACTGCTGCATGCGTTCCCTGGAGAAAGAGAGGGAGGAGGGAGGGGAATGTGACAAAGGAAACATTTTTTTTATCTTCACAAAATGTCACATTTCTTTCAGAACTCTTGTGTTAGTATTAGTTACAATCCACAATACTTGTGAAAGAAATACTTCCACACGGTGCGGAGGAGGATCCTGCTCGTCTGGGCTAAGAGCAGAATACCAAATCCCCCCATATTGCAGAGCTCTGCATACAGTATCACAGCACAGATGCACCACTTTTCTAAGGCTGAGGCAGCCTAAGAAAGACCCCATATCTAACCCTATCCACCAAAGAATCATACTTAAGGAGTATGTGTATTATTCATATGTTAACTACACAGAGACCTGTTTAGTAAACAGGTGTCTGTGTTGAAAAGACGTCCTTAAGTGTGCTCCGCAATTGCGCATGCTTGTCGTGCATGGCATTTTCTCACAACCCCTTCTTCTCTCGCACACATTTTATCAGCGGAGTAATCTCGGTTACGTCACAGAGTTCACAAAAACAGGAAAGAAAACATTAGTGGGGATGAAGCATGAGCCAATCACAAATGTGCTCTGCAGATGCCACAGATTCAGGGGAATCGCTGGCTTTAGATGCCACTTCTCTTTGCTATAAATCACGTTCACATTGTGACTACAGTAATTAAATGCAAGTGGTGTGGCTTGACTTGAAAGAAGTTGGCGTTTTTACCCACAATACACCGAAACCGCATCATTACATAGGCAGTGAGAGTGGAGACTTCACTCTGAGAACAACAAGACCAAAGGCTGGGTCTGTCGGCCCGACTAAATAACTGATAAACTGTGACGTCGTCTGGGTGAGGAGCAGACCTGTTTCCCTGCTGAGCAGCATTGTAAATGTGAGCAGTTTCGCAAAGTGCAGCATAACTTCATCTGATACAATTTTGGGCTGGAGTTTCTAAAGTCCCCACACGTTCTCTCTCTCTCTCTCTCTCTCTCTCTCTCTCTCTCGCACTCTCTCTTTCTCACTCTCTCTTTCTCACTCTCTCTCTCGCACTCTCTCTCTCGCACTCTCTCTCTCTCTCACTCTCTCTCTCGCACTCTCTCTCTCTCTCTCTCTCTCTCTCTCTCTCTCTCTCTCTCTCTCTCTCTCGCACTCTCTTCCTGAAATCAATTTTGCTGAATCACTGCCAGAAATGAGCTGCTGGTTTTGGGGAGGAAAGAAAAAACTGGCAGAAATCTCTCCTTCCCACCTTCTCCCTCTCTTTGTATCTCTCTGTCTGGCTCTCACTCTGTTTCTCTCTGTGTCGACCTCTCTTTCTCTGTTTCTATGGTCAAATATTCAGAAAGTTAGCACAGAACCGAGGAGGAAGGAAAGTTCCACCTTTGGCTGGAAGAAGCCAGCAACATTTCTGTTTGTTCAGAAAAGTATGTACAAACCAATCCCTTAAAAGTCTGAAACTGAAATCACAATTAGTCATTAGCCTCTTTACAGTCAAATATCGGGGCAAAATAATTGTATTGTTAATATTTATTTTTAAAGAGAAAGGTGAGTCACATCAGAAATGCTACTTTAGCCTTCAGCTGTCTGAGTGAGTGGGCCCGTGTGTGTGTGTGTTTGATTGACAGCTGAGCTGGTAGGGGAAAAGTGACACAAAATAAATCATCTTTCACCGGTTACTGCAGTTTGCAAGCCAAGGACAGTGTTTTCTCAGCAGTGGTATTGACAAATAAGGACTAGACTTAACGGCATGTGAGCTGACTGACATAAACACTTGCAGGTAAAATTTTAGATATATGTCTATATGTTGCATTTCATTTCTACCTTCACGCATAGTAGATACATTTTGCCTGTCCAACTTGCACATTAATTCAATCACGAGTGGGTGCCCAGAACTTTTAAGGAATTACCTTTGTTTATCTGTTTGCACATCAAAAACTGAACGCGGCCTTGCTTTGTCTTGAGTGTAAAATGCACATCTGTCTTTGCAGTATTCAAGCTCAATCAGTGACAGATTCCACTCTCATAGCTGAGTGAGCGGACAGTCTATTCAATAAATGCCTTTATGCCCCGGGGTCAATACGCACTAAGTAGCTAAGCAAACAAGCGTACACTCTACAACCCCCTAAAGGCTCAGTGGACTCCGCAAAGTTATGGACCGATTTTATGTGCATTTCTGACAGAATTATCAACAGCGGATAGACTTCTTAATGTTAACAACAAGCAAGGAACACACCTCAGCCCGAAAAAGACAAGAAAGCAGTGACATCCAGACCAGTCGACATCTCATCTCCTCTGTCAGGCTGAGTGCCAGGCCTATCCGTCAATAAGGACAGGCCTGCTGTAAAAGCATCCCATGCAGCAACGGCAGCATACAGAGTAAAAAAACATCTTAATTTCTCTGCATACATATTAATCTGTCATATAAATGCGTGTGTATTTCCAATATTTTTCTCCGTTAGAGCGTATTCCAAACTGAATTTGCCAAACCATAAAGTCTCTATCACAAATTAGTATTTTCCCCAATAGCTGTTGTCACCTCACAGAAGCAAACACATCATTCTTAAAGAACTGTGATCCACTTGGCCCTAAATTGATTAGAGGACCAGATGATCTCTGGTGTGGCAATCTCATGCTTTACCAACTGTACTAAGCTCACAGTGATACAACACAACCACACGTGGTCTGAAGCCGTGTCGCACAATGGCATTTGCGCTGCTGTTTATTTATTTGTTTATTTGGGACAAACTGACCCACTGACATTGACTTACACAAGCTATCAGTTGGAGCTTTTAAACCTGCACCCAGACTGAACCCGCTCCTCTACAGCAGGCGGCCTACAGAGGCTTCTATTCTCCTTTTTGATTCATTCTGCAGCATTCAATTCACCAGCGGCCATGCACCACAGCTCCAATGAGAAAAGGCCCACACACACACTCTTCTTTTCCACTTGCTCTCCTGTTCCAACATATTAACACAGATCAAGTGGGCCATTGACTGCACTCGCTGTGCTTTGATCGCCTGTGCCGATACTGCAATTAAAGAACCATCAAAAAGTACATAAAGTATTTCCCTGCCAAGTGCCAGAAATCAGGTGCAAAAGTATTACCTTGTATTAAGTGCACCATGACTTCCTAATAACAACGTCATTACCGCAAAAACTCATTTTGTCCCTTTGAATAGTTTTCAGGTATGTAAATGGGAAGCTCAAAATAGCATGGCAGAAAAATACACTCCTTACTCTACAAATTCCACTTGCAAAATTGATGTTTATGCATAAATTTGCATCTGATGAGCAGCTAAAAAAAGGCAGAGACTACTAAACACTAAGACAAAGCCCGACTGTTCAACCAATTACCGTATCTGCGAATTATACACCCTGAAAAACAAATGATTATTTTTCGCATTTGTATGTTTGTGTATTGGGGATCCCGCAGGACATCAGACCACATCAAATGTATTTTATATCATATATATTCTATTCACAGAAATGCATCTGCTAAATATTGTTCCTTAGTAATTAGTACCCCTTCTCTTTGTTACATTGTTAAAATAATTTAAAAATGCGTGCGACATAAAATATTTAACATCTGGACCACTGCTAAATGTCAGGACGGGTACACTTTAATAACATCAGGACGTTGTGTGTGGGACAATGCAGATATGGAAGCTTGGACCTACTCGTTAAAGATGAGGTCAGGGGCAAAGTAGAGCATCTGTCCATTGGTGTGTTTGTAGGAGCGCCAGCTGAGGCAAAAGGAGGACAGACACATCCACGAGTACTGGATCAGGGTGATTTGGTCCTCAATGGGCAGGCCCCGGAAGCCTAACACACAAAAAAGCAGACACCAAGCTGGTGAGAAAAAAGCAAGCTGACAATACTCACGCGTTGATTTAAAGCATTTGGACTTAAGCACCGCCTTAAGAGGCATTTATTTAGCTGCATGTGTGTACCTGCGTGTCTGCTCACGGGCATTACGTAGCGTGTATCTTTGCTACAGTCTGCTTTTTTTTGAGGCAATATTTGTTTGGACACGATAAGCACGGAGAAGTATTCACCCATTCTTGTTTTATGCAAATCCCACAAGGCCTCCAGTTATTGGCGTGTTGTCTATGGAGCTCCAAAAATAGAGTCAGATAGGAAACTTGCCAAACTCTCAATCAAACTCTGGCAAGAAACTCCTCCTCATGCAAAACATAAGCAAACTGAGGACACACTAGTGACTTCAAGGCTTAGGGACTATTTTAGACAATATGCATGTCAATCTGCAACATACAATGATTAGAAAAATACATATTTTCGGAAAAGGTCTGCTGAATGCCTGGCTTGACAATGTGTATTCATTACAAGGTTGTTTGATAATCCAAATTGTAGAGTTTGATGTCTGTCATTTCTTATTTTCCAGGCAACTTTAAAAGGTTCCTATCAGAAAAGGATGTGGTAGTAGCTCCCATTGACAAACAAGTCTGACTTCCCTGCAAATATACGGGTCGTACTGACAGTATTGTTCCATGTCGCACTGTGTGTTGAACCTGCCTTATCCAAATGTTAGCTGAATGCAGGCAGTGGCATATCTGAAAGTCGAAGGTACTCATTTTGACCCTTGTGTCTGGCTCCCCTTCTATTTATACGTCCGGATATGGCAAGCAGACACCGTGGAGGTATCAAATATTTGCAATACAGCAAATTAAAAAGCCTCAAAGAGCTACCTGTGAGGCATCTTTCAATGACTCCCACTGACTGGCATTTTAGGGGAACTTGTTGTGTGTTTATTTTATTCTAGTGATGTAGTTTATGGGTAAAAATTAATGAGAGAGAGACATCAGATCTTCTGTTCAACATAACATCTGATAACGATAATGTAAATGAGTTCTGTTTGGAAATTTTAATCTTGATTTGTTTTAATGGTTAAATTGGATTCCCTTCCTAATCTTGTTGAAGATTTACAGGATAATTTCCCGACCTAATATTCAAAATTAAAACTCTGTGTCATGACACGACGATCAGTGTTGCATTCTCAAAAGTGAAGCTACATGTTATCTTCATGAAACCCCGGTCCACAGTAACAGGATAGGCTCCTTCTGATTTAGTAGACTGTTGTTTTTATCACTTTCCATTTGCTTTGACATATCCATAAATAAAACTGACACAATTTCAATTGTTTGTTAATAATAAAGTCATTAATTAATAACATTAAAAATGTATGAAATGCACCTGGTAAAAGACATTGTATTGGGCTAAAAATACACAATTTATTGCACTTCCAAGCTATTTTAATCTAATGAATATAAATCTAACAAACAAAACATCATTTTAAAAATGTAATTCACACACCTTATTTTCTTTACACGTATCTGTGCAGGTGCTTTCTTCAACTTTCCAATTTTGGCGTAAAAAACTCTTGATACTGCCTTTAGGCCCAACGCTCTAGTGGTCACTAACCTGGAAGTACTTTGGCCCACTTCACCATGCGTACCATCTGCTTTCCGGCCAGGCGGTTGAGACTGGACAGCAGGTGGTCGGTGGTGTCAGGCTGCGTGTTGTCATAGCCAGAGTACACCTCCTCAGGCTCAATCAGCTCCAACACACTGCAGATGGAGGGCGGCAGAAAAGGTGTGATCACCGAGGGCCCGTGGGGCACCAGGGCAGTGGCAGCGCTGGCGTTGAGCTCCTTCTCTGACGACAGGTAACCGCCTCCACCGCCACCTGTGGCAGTTTGGCCGTCCTTAGAGCCCTGCAGGTCCTCGCTGACACCCTTCAGCTTCCCTAACTTCTTGGACTTTCGTGCTGTGGGGAACACAACAGCCCTCATTAACACATCGACGGTGGTGGCATTTCTTACATTCATAATCTGAAGTTTTAATTACAATGTGATTGATACTGTACAGGTATGATTAAAACAACAAATATAGATATAATATGTAGTATGTGGGTCTGTTATTAAATGCCTGTTGTTAAATGTTTACTTTTAAATCAACGTGCTTTTTTCTCTCACTTCAATGTTAAAGGTGTGCTGAAGGAAGGAGGACGTTAACTTATTAACTCTAAATGTTATGACAGAATAAAGTCCAGTAATTACCAAAATCACATAATAGTGTAGCACAATAATCATGTTTAATGTGTGTATTGATCAGTCATACACAGGTAGATGGGGATCTTCGAGGCATGGTGAACAAGCAAAGACTAGAAACATACAATCTCTAAAAAACAGCCTCTCAGCTTGATCAATCAACTCCAGGTGTGCTGCTACACTCACACACAAGGCATTTCTAAGTTAAATGATCTGTCGTGTATTTTGCTCTGCCCCTGCCACACAGCTTCATTAAAAATTCTGCTATTAACAAGCTGGCATACTATTATGTGTGCTAATGTTAGCTGCTGTCCCCAAAATCTGTTTGTTGAAAGTTTATTCACAAACTATCGACCTCAAGATGAAAGCTGGAGTTTTCCTGTCTCACTTGTCAGTGTTTCGGGAGGCCGCGAGATGTGGAATCGCTTCTTCACCTCACCAAAGTAAGAACTGCTTCTTAGCTAACTAAGACAAATGTGTGTAAGCTGTGCGGCTAATGTTACTGTTGGTGGCTGTTTTGTTGTGTTTCAGGCGCTTGGTTTGCTTGTTTATAAATTAATTTGTTCATTGCATCTGTTAGCTAGCTGCTAAGTTTCTGCTCCTGTCAGGATGTTGTTGTACTGGTTTTTGTACTTAGCTGTTAGCTATTGGCTGAATTGGATTGACTCACTTTACCCAGGTCCAGTTGTTGGAAGGAGTATTCAGATCTTTTACTTAAATAGCAATAAAACAGTGTGGAAATACTCTACAAGTACTAAAGGTTCTGCATCAAGATCAAGTAATAAAGTACCAAAAGTAAAAGTAAGGCCAAGTCATTATGCAGAATGGGACATTATATCATCATATATTGTTATTGGATTATTGTTGCATGAATGTGTTCATCACTTTAATTTTGCGTCCGGTAAATGTGGCGGAAACTTGAATTTGTATCTATTCTTGAATAGCTTAGCATATATTTGTGTACCATAAGGTTTATCTATATTTGAATCAACGAGCTAATTTTGCAAAGTAACTAAAACTGTCAAATATATGTAGTGGTCCAAAAAGTTCAACTTTAAATAGCATTCAATGGAATTACTCAAGTAAAGTGCAAGTACCTTAAAAGTGTACTCTAGTAAATGCACTTAGTACCTTTCCACCACTAATGTTGTCACGATTTTTAACTTTGATACAATATCTTCCAAAAATAAATCGATATTTGATATCATGTTTGATACCACAAGGAAAAATGTACACAACATTGAGGGCGTACAATTTAAGATTATTAATTTAAAGAGAAGAGACGCAGCTGGGTTCCTTGTATCAATACCATTGAAAATAAGTATTGCAACAGTTTTGCATATCTGTGACTATGTATTGATACCTAGATTTTTCATACTACCATAATACTACTGCCCAGGTCTGCAGTAATTGATACTAGTGTATATTGGCAGACTCCTTTACACAGGAAATTAATTCGTGAAATTATTTTCTCGTAATATTGGTTTCAAGGCAAACTTGAAGTTGGGACTCACTTTCACTTCTTTCGCACATACTTGATATTTAGCCAGCGTTCCAGAAATATTTTTTATTCTTTACCATTTGGGAATCTGACAGCTTTCTTTACTTGTCTTAATATCAAAATCAGATCTACACAGCTGAGGTGACATTTAATGGGTTTCTCCGCTGCTACTCAAACACTCATTGGCAACCTTAAGCTTTTATTCATGACTCATGGTCATCTGCTGCTTTTCAACACTACATTACATTTCACTAAAGAGATGTGTTTACTCCAGGTCATGTTTTGTGCCTGTAATATGCTAGTTAATAATTACCTGCTGCTAAGGTGACGTGTCTGTATCTGAATGACACATGGTGGTGAAAAATATTCCATTTTAACCAAGTTGGTGGAGGTTCATTGTCAGAGGGTAACCTTATGAGGGCTGGACCCCAGATATCACCTACAGCTGTATATCTAATGTCAGACTCAAGATCTAACTTGGTTTTCATAGTTTTCACTCACTCCCTCGTCACCTCGATCTTGATGTATGCTTTAGAGGAGTGATTTTATATTTTACATGAGTTATACATGATTGATTGAGTCACAGCGTCGCTCTTTTGAAGATGTATTTTGTTGTGGCTTCTCTCTTGCTCTGTTCTGCTATGCTTGTTGCTTCATGTATACTGCTCCAAACACCCCTTCAACACTGCTACTCATATAGCATGTCACAAGGCCACCCTTCCACCTGGCATCCACCATAGGCTCTTATTCCCCTGTGAGTGAGTTTATTGCTGTCACTCTCCAGTCTTTTCTGCGCATGGACACTGGACTCTGTTGAAACTCTGTATTTTTCAATCAATAATACATCCATTCAACATTAGTTTTGTTGACTGAAATACATACAAGAAAGTGAAATTAGTCGTACAAAATAAATAAATGAAATGTATCGTAAAGTGCTTTTCTGGAATTTATTTTCCCAATTAGTGCTCATTTGTTTATCTTATGAAGTACTATCCGAGGTTCGGATTGGCTCGAGGATAAATGTGTAACATTCAGAGGCACAGGCGTTGAATGAAATGTAAACAAGAGTAACCTCATCACTGACATTTTTAGACATTTGTGCCCTCATTACAAGCACTTTAACCAAGCAATCTAACTGCTGATTTAGAACCCCCCCCCCCCCCCTTTAGATAAAACACATGGCCTACTCCACAGACAATAGTAGTCCTCTCTTGTTTGTTACATTGCATCATTAATTTAATGTGTTTATTTTCTGTGAACACCTGGGTTTTCCTTGCGCATTTAAACCTTCTACAACAAGTGAGTAAATGATTATCCTGTTAAATGAAGTTCATTAACATCATCACTTCATCAGAAAATATGAGTGAAAATGAGAACCTTATTCCTGCAGCCATTTACTAAATCATCGCTAAGTTCATTAAGGGCTCGAGCCGCAGCAAGATAGCTTTGGAGCCGTTGCTGTTGTGGGCCTGTAAAAGCCCTTTACATCTTTTATGTGATATCGGGCTAATTAAACTTAATTTGACATGACAGCAGAAATTTCTAGTGCATTTGCACATGAGAGACTTTTCATAAACCGGTAGCCTAGTACTGTACAGTACTTTTAGATAAGTCACAGAATCTTTCAACAGTGCTGAAATATTTAGAATTAAGATATTCAATATTCACTGCTTTCACACTTTCATCTCATTGCATATCCGAATAGATGAAATCCTTAAACATTTCATGACGCAAAAATGGTGCAACTTTGTTGTAGTTTCATATGCCTCGGGGTAAGATGACATTTAGTGGGGAGGATAATTGGGCGATGATCATTATAAAAAACAGTCATTTAGAAATGACAGTGCACAGCAGAACAAGCTAGCCTGAGGACCTTTCCATAGACATCTATTAAATCCTCTCCTCGCCGATGTAGATCCACGTCATTCCAATTTGCAAATATTTCTCTTTGGATTCATTCAGAAGACAAATAATTCACTACCAAGCACGAAGCAGTGAACTCCTCAACTGCTCTCTGTAACAGCAGCAGCTGTAGTGTGCATGTTCCCCCTTTGGCCACCTTTTATTTTAGTAATTTTGATAGCCCTACCACATGTTTCTATACATTTACATTCTCGTTTGAATTTAGCATCCTAGGGGAGCATAACATTTGTAATTTCAATTACTTTAATGGACTGAAGACCTATCAAGTATGCTTTTAGCCTTGTATATGCCACTGCGACCCTGAATTGGAATGAGCCAGTGGCAATAAATTAATTAATTTCCTTCCGAATCCCTCTCAACTACAGTGTCATCGTACCTCATAATACAATACTGTAACTTTGTGAACTGGCATCGTATATAGAGTACTGTAGATCTACACCTGTATGCATATGCATTATGCATATTGTGCTCAGATATAGGCTACTATATGCACACACAAACATCCTATGACTCACCACCCTTGGGCCTCCTGTGACTACAGCCAGACCTACTTTTCCACATCTATCAGTTCTCATAAGCAGAGCAAGGCTGACTCAAATGTCACATCTGAGACACGTGACAGGGCAAATTTGTAATGAGGGCGTGACTCCTCACCTCCTAGGTTCATCCCGGCCTGGAGACACTTCCGTACGCGACATGCAGGACAGTTTTTCCTTCGGATCTTGTCAATGATGCAGTCATTTCTCCCGGCACACAGGTAGTTGTGCTGACCTACAGAAAGACAGGACACAGCATCAGAACGATGGTGAACACAACATAGAACAAAAGCCGTGATCATTTCAAAGTGATGAGCAGCAAAGATAAAAAGAAAAGATAATGGAGCAATAAAGAGGAAGATAAAGAAAGTTAACTTATGTAATATGGAATAATATTTGTACGAATGTGATTAAATGAACAGAAGTAAATGTTTGATTCTACTGTAGAGACTGTTTTGTAATGTAGGTCAACACAGAAACCCGTGAAATGTCTGGCAATATCAGAGATCTACATTTCACGACTTTTACTGCGAAATTGTGATTATTCCGCTCTCGCATTCTAGAACGCATGACTAATGGTGTATTTTACAGTATATGGCATGGGGGTATTAATATTCGCTGGACGCAGGACACTGGCTACAGCTAGACTATGCCTGACAGTGATGCTAACATGGCGAGAATCCCTCCTGCCTCCTGCCTAGCCCTTAGCCAAACCCAATGATCTCCCATTTCAGAGCGCTTCCTTCCGCTCCACTAGTTCTTCACTGTACAGCTCCTCTCCTCCTCCACTCTTCTCCTTCTCTACGCCTGCGACTCCATCCCACTTTTTTTCCCTTTTTCCACACGTCCGCCAGCCTCAGAGCGCCATACGCCCACACACAGGCAGGCTCATGCTCGTGCACACATACAGTCATTCACTCGCTCACACACACACACACACACACACACACACACACACACACACACACACACACACACAGACACACACACACACACACACACACACACACACACACACACACACCATGCCCATATACACACACTGCCAAAGCTGCTCCACTTGGCAATTTAGAAAAAAAAAAAAACTGTGAATACACACACATGGAATTCACAACACAACCCAGATGGAGTGGTGTGGTGTAGTGACCCCCGATGACCCCAGTACACGGCTTATCTCTATTAGTGTTGATGCTGAAATTGTGCGCTCATCTCAGATGGTGTATATACAGTTGTGTGCATGCACATACTGGCAGGTCAATGTATATCTGTGTTTCCCTGCATGTTCGTCGTGCATCATTTATTTCTTCAGAAATACCCGGAATTCCTGGCATGAAAGTTTGTGCGTTGTTTACATGCGGCTTGCTCAAACATGTACATTCTGTGCATCGCGTTTGTTGCATCTACAGTACAGTATTTGTATTCGTGTGTAGGACTGAGCAGAAGTTGTTTTCTGAGCTAGCAGGAGTAGTGCACAGTGTGTCTGTCTGGCTGCTGCCAAAAGCCAAGGAACCGAGCTGCAGGAGGAGAGGCAGCAGCTGTAGCCCCACCACTATTTCTGGCTAAATCACATGACCGTTACATAAGCCCATTTTTCTTGCTCTAAAAAACAGTAAACTGCGACACAGGAAACACAACGCAGCCCTTCCCCGCCCCCCTTGTGCACGCACGCACACACATGCATACACACTCGCTTGGATGGGCCGGACCAATTGGCAATTCTGAAAACTCTGGAGCCTCCCTGTCAACTGTTTTGCTCATTCCCGTGAATCTTGTTAATAATTGTTAGAGTGAAATACACTTTATGAGACAGGCAAAGTCGTAGTCCGATGTTGTGTGTGTGTGTGTGCACTCCACTGTGTGTGTGTGTGTGTGTGTGTGTGTATCTGAAAAGAGAGCGAAGTTGTTTATTTGTGCACTGTGTGTGCATACACTCACATGCCCTCGCACAGCATGTTTACCTCTGAATATGTGCGTTTGCTTATCAACCTGGCACATGGCGGGCTACTGATGAACGCTACTTTTTAGTGTTACCTTGGAAATCGTTTTATGAAATAAAATGTAAATTAAAATGGTTGATTTATGAAGTCATTTTGATTCATATTTGAATATGCATCATAGCCCAAAATGTATAACTTCTGTTTTTTTACAAGGCAAGGCAAGGCAAGTTTATTTGTATAGCACATTTCAACAACAAGGTAATTCGAAGTGCTTCACATAAAACCAATAAAAGCATCAAAACATAAGGCAAAAGAAAAGGAGATTTAAAAACAATTAAGAACATTCATTGAAACAATAAAAACAGTGTAAGAAATAAAATACAGTAGTGAAATGCAGGAAATTGATTAATATATTAATTGAATCTGGTTCAATTAAAGGCAGCAGCAAACAGAAAAGTCTTCAATCTTGATTTAAAGGAGCTGAGGGTCTCAGCAGACCTGCAGCTTTCTGGGACTTTGTTCCAGATATGTGGAGCAGAAAAACTGAACGCTGCTTCTCCGTGTTTAGTTCTGACTTTAGTTCTGACATGTTTAGTTCTGACAGTAAAATTCCTATCAAGATATTTTCATATAATACTTGATGAAAAAGATAAAAGATTCCTCAGATACTGTATTAAACTTGACATCAGTTTAAAACCTCCTGTCTGCTGGTACAATGCACACTCTGTCAGCATTCTCCATTACATGACAACCCTAAGAGTTTTTTAATGGAGTCCACTCACGTCTACTTTTAGCTAATGATCTCACAATCTGGCAACAACCCGCTGAGTAGTCTCTGTTGTCTGTCAGCTCCAGCATCCTCAATTATGAGGACACCCTTCTGAAAGGGAATACTCTTTCCTATGGGGACCCCACTTTAACAAGTGTAATCCTAAAATAAAACTCCTCCTGCCCCCGGCACAGCTCCAGTGCATCTGCTTTACAAACAGAAGTCAGACGGACTTGGGGCTTTGCTAAAATATATCCTTTTAACCTGACATTTTTGAATAGCCACTAGACACAAGTGGTCAGGCGCTCGGTTGTGTAAATAGCCTCTCAGATACAGTGGCTGACCCACATTAATATTTAGTATTTATAGTGGCTGCAGATTTCTTACTTGCAAGCCGGTCCTGCAGTCACAAGATGGCATATAACTAAAGTTCGTGCTCAAAATGTCACTCTCATAGATTGTTGCCGTTTGATCATCCATTCACAAACCACTTGGTCAATTCTGTGATCGTCATTCATCGGTTATTATTGCAGCCTAAATTACATCGACAACAAAAATACCAAACAACCAAAAAATGCTGGCCTCTCAGAGATGTAATTGTCGTTACCACTGGGCCAGCAGTACGCAAATCACTGCCCAGCAATAGCACTGCTACTGCAGTTCTTTGGACAACACACAAACAGCTGTGTTGGATGGTGCTCGACACAATTACATTCCCTAGTCTGGATCGTTGTAAAAAAAGAAGGTGCGGAAGTTCAAATAGAATAGAAGCTGTTATTTTGTTTACTAATCTCTTTACTTCCATAATTATTACTAGGCGTCCTGTGCATTTCCATTTCACAAAGATTTGTACCATCTGCTGCCTTGTTACATAATGCTTTGAGTCATTATTTAGGCCTCTATATTGTATTTGGAGTTTTTTTTTTTATGCATAAGAATGATATTCATTCGTACAAATAAAAAAAACATTTCTATCCCCTCAAAACTACAGGTTGAAAACACATTTGACTCTCATCTGTATCATATCAAGTGCTCGCTGCTAAGTGTTTTCAGGCTATGGGGTTACAACAGAAACATTCCCTTTCCTCTGTACCTCATTTCTTTCTCCTTTCTCATTCCACTCAGCTTTGTAACTACGGTATGCCTTTTTATTTCTGCTGCTACTTTACTTTTTATGCATAGAGCAAGTGCATTCTGACGTGCATTTACAGCATAGTATGTGTACACTTGTAGTACTGTATCTTTAGCTAACCTATCATCAGTGAAGAGGCTGATGAAGCCCATCAGATTGGCACTATTATTTGGTTAAACACAAAAGGTGCATTATTTTTGCATTGATGTCAAAGAACAAAGGAAGGGAGCAGGAAGAGATGGAGGTCAGATTATATCCACTGAAGGTCAGGGCACATAGGAAGTAGTGTGTGTGCAGGAGTTATATCATCATACATGCAGCAAACCTGTGGCATACCTGATACTGAGGTTTCATATTTAGTCAAAATGCTGTATATTTTAGAGCGGAAATAATTAGTCAATTAATTGATTATTCATTTGAAGAGAAGAAAAACAAGAAAAAACAGCAGAAATGTGCTGCAAGCAAATGTAAGAATTTGCTGCGTTTCTCTGTTGTTTTTCATTGTAAATTAAATGAATTTGTGTTTTGGATTCTTTGTCAGACAAAACAAGCAATTTGGAGATGCCAACTTAGCTTAAGAAAAAATGTGAGGGGCATTTGTTCTCTATTTTTCATTCTAATATTTCACAGGCTGAACAAGTTATCAATGAATTTAAAAAACCAACCGGCACATTTGTTGTTATAACAAATATTCTTGCAGCCCTAATATATTGTATGCACTATTTTTAAAGCAGAAAGGATGTAAAAGAAATACACACACATACACACAGACACACACTGGGACAGTAAATGTGTCTAGGTTGCATTAGAGAGACCCTTCCTCAGGCTGCATTCTCCAACCTAAATGCCTATTAGCAATGTGTGTCACACACATATTTACAGTAAGCTTTGAAGATTTAATTTCTGCCTAATGCTATACAACTGAAATCCTATACTACTTAATGAAGAAGTGCATGCTCATGCATGCATGTTAGTTTGCGCCTGCCACTGTTGTTTGTATGTTTGTTGTATGCCTTTTTCTGATCAAAGAAGCTCTGGTGTGAGACATGTGTTGCGGAGCTGGAATCAGGGCTGCTAAATGGCTTCACTCCAGCCGTTGTTACACAACCTGGAGCATTCACTCCGGCACGGGAGGGAGGCCTTTATTCCCCCGGCCTGAGCTGAAAACGATTGGACGGCAGAGCTGCCAGTCAGAGCAGAAACAGTGCGAGACGAGTCCTCGGATGACCTCTCCCTAAGAGGCGGTGCCGAGGAATAGGTTTTTAGATTGACACCAGCGCCTTGGAAACCGCGACCCAGTCAAATTGCAGAACACACTGAGGCCATAACAAGGTTGACGAATGTCTTTGTGAACCTCTCAGTTCAATAAGAGAACAACAATAAAAGCAGCTAGTGAGCTAAAAGCAGGGCATAGTATTACTGCACAGAGCAGACATGCCAAGCCACTGATGACATGTGAATAATAAGCTTGCGTTCAACTCTTCAAATGCGCTCCGCATGTAGCCATTTATTGTGTGCAGCTGTCTTGTACCAACAAACTAGTCTTTAGTGGAGTGGGTGCAGGAGAGAAGCACACATGAATGCTTTCAGCTATTTCCACATTACATTAGCGATGATAACGCATATTTACGAACTGTTGTTTAGTGTCAGAAAGCATTTTTCCCGCAGCGCAGGATAAACGTTTGTACTGAAGAGTCCATTCATTTCAATGGAGCCTGTAAATTGGCTGCGTGTTTGCATATGACAGTTGAGTCAACAGTAGCAATACAACTGCAAAACTTGCAAGCTTTATAGAAGTTATTACACTTCTTCTTTGTCTGTTTACTAAGTGTGTGAGTGTAGTAGCTGCCGCGCTGCATCAGATAAACTGGATGACTCGCAGTGAATAGGAGAGCAGGTGGATGAATGTTTCTTTTATGAAATAAGTGGATGTGGATGTGAAAGCTTAAAGAATGAATTGAGGGCTTTTTGAAAAGCTCACAGTCAGTACTCTGCACACAATTTAGCAATTCTACATGTTTCCCAGGGCCATGGTTATAAACTTCATAGTGCACAGTCGGCTTTGCCTTCTGGTAGATATGACAAGTGGAATTAATATTTGTTCTCTTGAGGAGGAGAGTGGAAGTCCCATGTGGCCAATAGATCTTCCAAACAGATGGTCTAAATGTAAACCTAAAATATAGCCCTCAAAGAATAACTGTGCCAAGCTCCGATGATGTAACGTTAAAACCTAACAATGACTTGCCTGACTTGGATGAAGGGGAAACCAGACCCTCCACAGTCGGTAGGATTTCATCTGATTTGTTGATGACTCTGGAATGCTAACTAGCTCGGTAGTAAAAGGCTGTGAGCCTGTTAGTCGTCTAATGAGCTACAGCCGCCTGAAAAGTTTTTTCCCCCGAGGCAGGTGGTGCCAAAGGAAATTAAGCATGGGCTGGATTATTCCCCTTCTACAGATGCCCGCTCTCTGCAGTCATCCTTTACATCTCACATGCCAAGTGTAGGTTTTTAACTTCAAGAGAAAAGAGGAGGAGAAGGAGGAGGAAATGCTGGGAGAGGGGAGGAGTAAAACATCTTCTCATGTCCTAACTTACACCTCTCCGGCGCTTACTGCTGACACATCGTTTTCCATCCCTCTCCCTGTGTCTTACTCCCTCTCCCGGCTCCTCCTCTCTTTGTCTCTCTGTCTGCGTCTGACTTTTTCTTTGTCCTTCCTCCCCCCCTCCCTCACTGTATCTGTTTCACCGTCCTCTATCTCTCTTCACTTTGCAAAATCCTTCTCTCACTATTTTCACCCTTTGCCTCCCTCCACCTTGCAGCTCTCTTTACACCTCAGCAGCAGCAGCAGCAGCTGTGGAGGGGTCAAGTAAGGTAACAGCTCGCTTTGCACATTGGAAGGGCACACAAGTGGCACGCAACCTTGATGACATCACACCACGGTAGGCCTATGGGTTGCCCTCATTACGCTTTGATGGTTCACACAGTTGCGGTTGTTTGGCAGTGCAGAATCAAGAGGAAATTCCCATTTAAATACAGGGAGATGCTCATAAAGTAAAGAGCACTGCATCAGATTTAAAGGGCATCACATAATCAATGAGTCATTTTCGGTGTAATTATACTTCATATGCGAAACAAATAGGCCTGCCGACGTGTAATCGCAAAGCCTGTAGAGATCTGAGGTCTTCGGAGCCTCACCTGACTAACACTCGCACACAAAGTCACATCTTTAGCATCTGCCGCCAGCTCTCTGCTGGCCAAGCTTGAAGCAAGAACAATGGCATGTCTAATTCGATAACCCCTGACACATAATCTGGTTTCAGGTGTCCGTAATGACAGTTTGTAAATATCATCAAATTAAGGCATGATTTGATTGGGAATAAGTGCAATTCCTTCAACGGTCAGAAAAACACCTAGAGGGCCTGATGGCTGGCTGGCAGGCTTGTTTGCTTGTTGTTTTTCCGCCTGTACCGGGTCTGTAAGAGTGCGTTTTGCATTCAAACACTCATTTTAATGAGTGAGGCCAACGCCTCAGGCACAAAATGAAAAGCACATTATGGCTGCTTGTGATTTTCCCTCAGCTAAATATAACATAAAGGACTGCTGCAGGAGAATTACCTACTGAATGATTTTTCTTTTTTTCTGATGTGCCTCCCAACTTGGTCACAGTCTATAAATATAGTGTGCCAAATGTTTTTGGCCATTTAAATGATCTTTTAGAAAAAAATAAATAGGTCTTCTTTGATTTAACAGTTTGTTTGTTGCATAAAACGGTGTAGAGCAAATAAAACCAGCAGCACTATTGTTAATAACTCCTGCAAAAATGATCGACATTGTATTCTGCCTAAAAGTAATGAACATGCTGCTTCATGTCAGCTCAGGAAAAAAGAGATTATCTGAAGAACGAAAAAAAAAAAACGAATTTGCTGTAATGCAACATGAATGAAACCTAATAATAACGGTAGCAGGAGCTTCTTCCTCTTACAGTATTAGTTTAAGGATTAGAGTTTAAACAACATATGTCACTCTTCTGTAAACAATGAAATAAGAGATGTTTTTTCTTCTTTTTAAATGGTCAGTATGAGAAAAGTATGGTGGCCAATAGAGCGCTCAATGCACTGCAACCGAAGAAAACCCTTTTTATTCTAGTTTTAAAACTAAGATGTTGCATGATTTCGATATTATAGGGATATTGGCTATACAGCTAGCTTTAGTCTCGACTAATTACGAGCATGTTCATCATTTTTTATGCAGAGACTTCTATTGTGTTGCAGCATTTCATTTGCTTGTGTTTTCTGTATTTGCGGTGCATTTCTTTGTGCTACCTACGAGTGTCCTAATTTCTTTGCGTTTTACGTCAGCATTGATGTTTTGATTTTTTAAATTTACTTGTGTTTTCTTAAGTTGCAGTGTGTTAAGTTCTCCCAGTCATCCTAGAAAAGACCTAAGCAGCGACATCTTGTTTCAACGTGAGTTAACGGCATACCTTCCACGGCTCTTTTGAAGAACACTTTGCAGCTTCCACATGTCACGACGCCGTAGTGGCATCCGGATGCCTCGTCTCCACAAACCAGACACACTTTGGCCGTTGAGGACGGTTGTCTCAGTGGCGAGCTGAAAGGACACACAGACACAAACAAGAAGTGAGACTAGACTATAAATCAACAAAGATTTTTCAAAAGTCATCAACAAAGCCGGGGCAGACTGTCCCCATCCTTACAGTGTTATTGCCTGATTCACATTGTGAAACATTCTTGTGTTTTTATGACCCACTGTACAGTAGCAGCACCGCGTGGCTAACCATAAAGATGTCTGCCAACCAAGAGGGGAGGGCTTTGCACTCAAATGATTTATAGCTTCACCAGGCTTAGAGAGACGCCAATGACAGAATTATAGGGGAGATTATTTAAATTCAATAAGCAGAGAGACACAGAGCAGGATGTCAAATTTAAGTAGGATCCAAAACACTTGTCCCCTTCTCTGGCAGAAAAAGGGAAAGGCACTGGAAAACATATTGAGTGGTGGCCAAAAGCATTACAAACCGTGATTGAGCAAAGACTTGACTGTGTGATAGTGTAAACTACGAGTTCAGGGTCAAAGATCAAAGCTGACAATCACTACCGATGTGTGCTGAACTGTACGTATGTCTTGTTGTCGTTATTTACTCTGAGCAACAACCGCAAGAATGCGTTGTTTACTTTGGCATCATTTACTGCTTTCACTACTGACTGATTTTTCCAGTTACATGACCATTAAAGCGCAGGATTCACAGTACGTTCCTACTCGTGCAGTGCTAAATGGGAGAATTAGTTATAGTTCGTTACCGTTTACGTATTCCTGCAAATAGGTGTCAAAGGTCAAAAGTAAATGGATGATATGTCTGTCTCGTTAAGCTATTAACAAAAGAGGCTCAAAGCAGTTTAATACAGAGTTTAAAGAACTGAAAAGGACCAAAACGTAGGGCTTGACAGTTTTATATACAATCTATATCAAGGTAAATCAGATTCACCTTGATGATTATAAATGCAACGTTATTACTTTTTTAATAATCAGTGCATGTATATCCGGTCTCATACAGGCTTACTTCTGACACGTGTGTCCTGTTAAATAAGTGCATGACCAGTTAAAAGAACTGAGCCATTGGCTGATTAGCCGGTTAAACTTCTGCTTCGATGTCATTCGTTGTAGTAGTTTTGTCAGTTAGACATTTATTCAAAACTGCAATATGTGGAAATTTAAGTTGTTAAGACATTCATAATGTCACTGATGAATTCTGTTTATTGTCAATACAGATTGAGAGAGCTGTACAGTTTACAGTGTCGGTACTACAGCCCGATAAATCAGTGGGCCAATATCATCGGATGAAGAACATGAAATAACAGTACGGAAATGCCAAATACTTTTGACGTGATTCAGAATCATTTTCAGTAGTACATTGTTTGTATGACAGCATCCAGACGTTTATATTTGAACTATAAGACATATGTATCGGCTTCAAAAATCCAGTATGAATTGGATAGTGTGTCGGGCGGCCCTCCAACCATTTTGTAAATTTACAATAAAAATAAATAGGTTCACAATGGGACTTGTTTTGTAGTTTATATGTAAATAAGGTACCAGAGTGCATAAAATAGATTAAGGGAGGTTGTTTATCTGTAAAAAAAAAGTGCAATGGGAGAAGCCCAGAATAATAAGTCAGTTAATTTAAAGCTAATGAATTACAAATTAAGACAAGTTATCTGTCTTTTTAATGTTTATTCATTTTGTCTTGTATATGTTTATATTGTTTCTTTATTAACTGACCCCTGGCCTCCTGTCATTTTGCAAAAGTGACCCAAGCGAAGCGGGCAAAGCAAGTTGAGTATCCCTTCAGTGTACTATATGTAGATTCAATTCTAAGCCATATATTAAGCTCTTTAAGCATTTATATCCAATGCATTTCCAAGAACATTAAGACTAAATCTATTCCTTAAAATAAGGTCTGCTCAATGGAGATGTAAGGCAAAAGATAGAGGGAGGGGGGGGTCAAGTACATTTTGAGGCCATCCATTACAGTCTGGTTGGAAATATGACATGGCTTCATCAGTTTGCAGAGCAAGCATGCCCTATGGATGAGGCTTGAATGATAATCTTATATTAAGCATGCTACTTATTCGTGCTACTTATTAATGGAATGTCAGCGAATCAGTTGGCTCTCACGTTATCAAAAATTGAACATACATTTACATTCTGAGTAAATTCAAAGCTTCCTGCATTTAAAGATAGGTCCAGATGGAAAAAGTCGGATATAAAATATTTGCTAAAACATTTCCCTTAACGTTCATACACACGCGCACACAAAGAACACAATGCGTAGATGGGTACAAAGAGAGAACACCTTGTATCAAAACATTAAAAGTGGCCTCAGCTTCCCCTTCTTTTCTGTTCTAATTACCTCGCTCCCATCTCAATCAATAACATGCAAGATGATTGTCTGGTTAACATTCTCCTTACATCCTTCATCAAACCAGCTGCCAAGCACTCTCTCTCCTCCTCTCTCTGTCTCTCTACCTCACACGCTCTCTCTCATGCACACACATTTCCTCCAGGGGACTAGCTGGAAAGGGGTACAGCAACAGCACACTCAGATACAATCAGGACCACTGATCTAATTCCCTCTCGTCCATCTACACACACATTCAATTTGTTAGGACGCTTAGAGGAGTCTCTGGTGAGGTGTTTGTCTGACTAGATCTTTCTGGCACCGGGCCCCATGGTTTCAGCTAATGTGAGTGTGTGTGTATGTGTGCATGCACAAAACCAATCCATGTCAATGTGTGTTTTTCAGCATGTTAATCTGCTGAATATCCCCCCCCCCCCCCCCAAATACATTGGATTTTTCACACCATTACAAAGCAGTGTAAACAAGAAAGCAAAGAAAGTTTACAGGCAAGAACAACACAAGGAGCACATGAGAGGCCTAAAGTATCTGCTTCTAAAATGCAGTCAGCGGTCCACCCTTTTAAAAGTGCCACACATTAAAACCTTGTCGCTGCGTGCCAGCCTGCCTGCCTGCTGGTCGACCAACAAGGTGACTTCCCCTCCCTCAGAGAAGTATATAGGTCATTCACTCGCTCTGCTTATGAAACCAGAGCAGACAGGGCAGGCTGCAGTGACTGTGCACCAACGGCTGCCAGTGGCCCAAAACTAAACACGAGCTACCAGACATTCCCAAATCAGGCTCTTTCAGCAGAGATGATAGCCTGCAGTTTGTCAGCGTACGGGCACGAATGATAATGTAATATGATTTTAATGTGCTTGACAAAAGAAGGGAATGACATGCAACAAACGGTCTCCAGTCAGAATCAAAAACACGTGGTGGGTAAGTGGTGTGCATCTTTGACCACATAAATACATTTCCCTTTTTGTTTGGCTTGTCATTTTCATAGCTTAAAGTATTCTGAGGTTGCAATTTCTGTCTGTTTCAATTAAGGTTCAAACGATGATGTAGCAGTGGAAGTAACATTGCTCTTAAGTCCTGCATGCAGGACCTTATGTCACCATTCAGCTCATACTGACAAACACAAAGCCAGACTGCAGAGGAAGCAAATTTGCATTGATAATGTTAACTTGGTAGAGAAGTTCATTTTAGGTCAATGTACAGTAAAATACACAAAAACATGTATAACCTTATCCTTGAAAACGTTTTTCATTTTTTGAGAAAAAGTTAAATTAATTTATATCACAATATCTCTAAAATAATGTGGATGACAAGTTCTGCAGTTGTGTGCAGGCTACTTCTGTGAACTGGGACTTTTTTTCTCAACCCCTGTCTTTATTTCTGGGTACAATCTCAGACTGACTCAATGGGACTGACTGCACAGATCAAAGGTCTCATTCTTCGCTCCAGTTGTTCCTTTTTTTCTCTTCCTACAGAAACCCCAGGGCAGCGGTTTCATTGTTTTCAGTGTCCTTTCATCTTAAAAGATAACACACAAAGCTAACAACTGATTTAGTTGCTGTTTATTTCCCAGGAGGATACAGATGAGTGCGAGTACACAATGCCTGTTTCTTCCCACCAAAATGTACAAGCAGAAATTTGTATCTCTTACTAACGCTTGCTGCCCTCTTCAGTGCTCCGAAAGGAAAGATGTTAATGAAATAATAATGCAAAATAAATTTGAGAGTGTTTGAACCAGACGAAGCCCACTGTGCCCGCTAAACTGTGTGAGGACCAAACCACAGGACAGATGTTTGGGCTCAAAATTGGCCTCATGCTTTTCTACAAGTCATTTGGATGTCACACTGGGAGCATTCTCCAAATGGTTGAACAATCTCCACCCTCTCTCAGCTGCAGAAGGAATACTAAATCAGCGAGAGCTAAGACCAGAAAGGATGGCCAAAGATTTATCAAAAGCCAATATTGCACTTGATAATGACAGCAGTCAGTCAAAGCGGAATTTTTCAAGAATTCAGAATATGCATTAGCCGCATACGGGCCAATATGGGTCACAAGAAAAGGTCAGAAGTCATCCGAGCTTGGCGTAATTAGAACAATTAGTTGCCATAGAAACAAAACATGAAGTCAAATAAATGACAAATTAGAGATACAAGGGAAGTCAAAGGGGCTGTAGTTATTCTGAGGTTATAAAGATAACACCATTATGGGTAAATAATGGACCGTCAGATGGCTGTATGATGGACGACCCACGTGGTACGGATGAACCCAGTGATCCGCATAAGTATATTAGCATGACAGTCAGTAAACAAGCAGCTGAACCACAGAGAGAGTTGTGCAGTATAGAGAAGCAATGTCCTCATGCATGTAACTATGATAAGACGAGTCGTATTTCCCAAAAGGTTTTTACACTGGCTTCGTCACCGGACTATTAGCTAACATGAAAAAACAATTCAGTTGCCCTTTTAACCATCTGGTTAAAAAGTGCAACTTGAAACAAATTCACTTTCCTTATTTCTCTGGTAGATGATTTAGATGGCCAAGGCAACTTGTTTCCAGTTTGCAACTTCTTCCTCTACTCTGTTTACTGGCTCATTTCAACCATGTGTAAAGCGTAGCCTTTACCGGCAACTTCTGACCCAATTACTTTATTTGCTTCAAATCAGTTGATGCAAAC